CAAACATAATTTTAATTGGCTTCTCATGTTACATTAAAAGACAAGTTCATTGGTTGTGTGTAGAGCATTCATACCTGTCACCATACAGACACTTCCAGGTCACTTCTCTCAGTTATAAACGTTCCTGAACAAAACTATTTGACTATTTGAACATGGCCCTTGATTTTAATGAGGTGGGTTTATTAAAGATGACACTGTGGTTCCAGTAAAGTAATGATGCAGCATAAACTTAAAGGTGAGTCCTCTTCAGTAGTTAACTTACACTGTCTCCAAAGGGGGGCGACATTTTACCACAAAGACTGCAGGAAGAGCGAACAGCGGGGCGTTTGTTAGTATTAAACTGCAGTCTGATGGGGCCAAACCTGGATGACTTTGTAAAGCTGAGAAAAAGAAAATCTGGTGATTAAACTGTTCTTATTCTTTTTTTCCTCCTTATTTGAAGAATGTATTCTTGCTCTGTTTCATTCACTGTTTAGTTTTGCTTTCACTTGTTGTTGTTTACTTTCAGTTTGCGAGCTGATTGTCCTGAATATCCAAACTGTTGTGACTATTGATGAGAGGCCATGAGTTATACACAGCAGTGTAAGCTGGTGAGATTCTCATCTTAGGGATGGCTGTTCCCTTTTTTGACATTCATGAAACTGGCTCAGTGTGGTGCTGGTTTCAATCACTATGCAGCTGCACTGTTTATAAGGCTGAAGAAGTCACTTCAAGGAGGGAAAGTTTCTCACACTGAAAATGCTGCATCCAGATGAACACAGTCAACTTTGTTGAAAAAAAGATGAAATAAAAATATAAAAAAACATGACAGAGTGTATCTGAAATAGTACAGACATGGTGGACATTTAGTTTGTGTATTTCTGATGATCTTTGTGTTTTGTTTATAATCTATAAAATTCATTGAGAAGCAGATGAGTCGATGCTTCTGGAGATAAAGTGCTCATTGATTGAAGTTTAATTTCTGCTTCATTTTCACAGTTCATTCACTTTAATCACGCCTGCTGGTTGAAACTGACTTCCACCTGCGAACTCCTGAAAGAGTAGTGGATTTTATCATTCTGATTCAGTCACATCACAGCAATGAATTCAAGTCATTATGCTTTAATTTAAATTAATATAAAAAGTCAAGAAAGTACAAATAATACAAGAATCCAAAATGTAGTTTGGTTTCATCATAAATAAAACAGATACATTAAGGTGTTTAAATTACACAGAGAGGCAGAGTTTACACACAGTGTGTCTTTGTCTGCTCAGCTGTTTGCAGGTTTACCTCCATGTCAGTGTGGAGCTAAACTAGACAATAAAGTGCTGTGTACTCTTTTCTGTCAGGATAAAGTATAAGACAGTCAGTACACTGAAGTCCAGCCTGAGCTCTGAGGAAAAGCAGCAACAACACAAACAGCTTAAAGTGCACAAAAATCTGGAGACTGATTCATGTAGGCTTCATTAAAGAAGTGAAACTGGCTGAGAGACAGAAGGATACTTTGAACTACTGGAAACATCTGTGATTGTAATTAAACTCAAACATATGTTCTAACATGAGTCCTGTGTGGGTTTCTTTTTTCAGAGAAACAATAAAACAGCTTTTGTGGTTTAATGTTTCTGAAACAGTTTTAAAACATTTAACACAGAAAAGATGTTGATTGAGTGTATTTAACTAAACAGACTCTTAAAACGATCCAACCAGTTCACACTGAATGCATCTGGTGAACATGTCATCACAGTGTTGTCTTCAGTGCAGTAGTACTGCTCCTGCAGATGCTTCCTGTCAGATTCCTGTCCTGTAGACTTATCAATCAGACAGGTATCAAGGTGAACAGTGGCTTTAAACCTGGAAGAGAGGAGCACCAGGGACAGAGCCAAGGTAACGACAGAGAACGGGACACTTTCTCTCTCTCCTGGGACGATGAACGGGATGACGATGCGGTTTCGTCCTGGTGGACCATATTTTGTTGAGAGAGACTTAAATTTTTTCCATGTACCATCATCTTCCTGCAGAGGGCTCACAATGATGTTTGGGATCTTCTGTCCTCCAACTTTCTTCAGTGAGTTCCAGTAGTCTGGCAGGTTCAGGGGTTGATAATTGTCAAGTGGAATTACACCGTGGAAAAACAACGGTAGTGAACGGTAAAAAACTCTGCGCTCTGGCCTCATTTTCCCTGTTGCAATGCCATAGGTTACATCACCAGTGGTGCCACAGTTCCAGGGAGAGTACAGGACCAGGTCAGTGATGGTGGGCAGAGGCAGCAAACAGCTGGCTGGGATCATGGAGTCTCTGATTG